CTGTCTAATGCTCAGAATCGATCCGAGCCATTAACAACTTGGTATCGATCCGAGGGAAGTATTAATCTGCCTGCCACTTTTTAGACTTACAAAGTACGATTCGGTTATTTGCAATTGTAAACCCAGTTTTATTTTCGTTTTTGTCTGTCGGACCGGTTCCTTTTCGAATAAATACGGGTTTCCTTGTCGCTTTTCAATTGCTTTACTTTTGTACCGTTGCCTTTCGAAAAATTATTCCTAATCAGTGTACAATGAGACAGAATTGATTATTACTACATATATTAACAACATCTTTAATAATTATACAATTAAAAAGAAAAACTATTAGTTTAAACTTAAATTGGACGCTGCCACCTTACCATTAGTCAATATAGTTAATATAGCTTTAACAAATTTAAAATTTATGAGAAGCAGATATTCAATTCGTTATAAAGACAGGATATACGTTTGTTATTGTTTGGTTTAATCAGTTTATCGATCAAAGATACGCCCTTGTTTAAATTGTGACCCAGCCATGAATAATAAATTAAGCCAAAGACAGGTTTTTTCAACTTTCAGTGTTCATTTCAATTTTAATCGTGGATTAGAAAACTACTGGTACAAATTATGCCAATTTCTGTTCGTCATTAGATTCACTAACTGGTTGCCCACAATGTTCGTTGAGTAAAAGTAAAAATTATAAAAAGTAAAGAAATGTCATACAGATAAAGGGTCCGACAATTGTACAATACATCTTTCATACAATTCTCAATTTAAAAAAACTATCGTCTGTACTGGGATTCGAACCCGAGACCGCTACCATGGCAAACGCCCTAACCACTCGGCCACCGCGGCTCCTTATTTTCGTTGTATATCGCTCATCTAGTAAAACGTATAGTTACTAATTTTATTAGTAGTTCAGTAATCAGATCAGGCTACTCACACAATAAACAAAATAATAAAACAAGCATAGACAATATAATAACAAAGCACCATACATAGGAAAATAGGGGTGAAAAAAGTTGTAGACACTTGTTTCAATAACCATTGACATGCACTCGTGGAGTTATTGACTAGCATAGAGAACTTTTCAAGTTAGTTATTCATTTGATGAATAAACCCGAAATGTATTAAAACAAGGCGGAAAAATTATTCGATTTGAAAGGATTGATCCATTGTTGGCGTTTTCAGGCTGTTGCGAACAATGTAAAATTGGTATGGTCCGGATGAAGAAACAAATTCCGTTGTTACAGCCAAGCATTAGACCTATTTTATCGTCATCATCAACGTAAAACAATATTAAAGATGTCTACACATTGGCACAATTACGTTTTTTATCGGTGGTTTCAAATTTTTGAAGACCGAATATTGCCAAGTACTGAGTGGGATCAAGAACTTCACAGTTGGAAAAATTCAAATTTCTCGTATATTTTTCGCGGTTATTTACCCAAAAACTCGTCACTCAATAAAAAATTTAGTGCCTTATAAGATGAAATCTATACAGACATTTTTTGAATCAATAGTTTTGAGTTTACAATCGTTAGTGGCTCAATTGTTGTTACAATTGAGGTGCAGTACTAGTTTAGTACCAAGGATATGTTCAAAAAATCTTGAAACCATTTCTTAAAAACTTAATTATGACAGTATGAAGACTTAATCGTTTAATCCGAAGATGACCTTAAAATAGGTCGAAAGCTTGGCAGTAAAAATTGAGTTTGTTTCTGCATCCAGACCATACCAAGATCCAGATCATTTGTGAGAATAAATCAGCGGTCGACAATCTAGCATTTTAACAGAAAAGCTGTCAGGCGTAAAGGACAGTTGAAAGGAAAAATTGCCTTGAGAAGAGAAAAAATATAATTAAGCATGATTTATAGTTTTATGTTGGTATTATTGATTGATTTTCAAAGAAACTTGTCATAAAAGCTTCGAATCAATTCCTAAAGGACCTTCATTGCGGCCGGATACCATCAAACGTGCCATATCGAGGAGGAATGATATTGTACAAAATTGTATCGGAAATTAGCATCACCGTGGGGATTAATTTCCTTTTTTATCCTGTCAGATAGCTATCTGCGTCGGAGAGGGGAGGATTTATAGGGCTGAATAATCTAGGAGATGGGAAAACAACAGGTGTCAACCAGTTTATCTTCACCGGTTTCGACCTAAGTGCCACGGACGGTCGATACTCGGCGACGGTCAGTTTTAAACGTGTGCCGCCTTTGTAAATGCACACACAGAATCGCTCACGAGTGTTAAGTACGCTTGGCAGACTTCAAAATTTAAGTTTTCTCAGATAAGAAAGAGATCTAAGCACAATGTTTTTTCAATTTCCAAAAAAAAATGTTTTATTTATGATGTTATCTTTATTTCAAATACATTTTTAACCTACTGTGAAGTGAATATATAAATTACATACAAAATCGTAAATTTTCTCGAGAAGACATTTCAAGAATGATAATACCAATGAATATTGAAAAGACTGAACAAACTGACGTCGTTCTTGAAGGGTTCCTCGGGTTCGAGCCCATTACCGAGGCGTTTTAAAGAACAAAAAGATCGTAAAATGATAAAAACAAGGCGAACCGTTGTAAAAGAAAGGTTTATTAAAAGAAAGAGAAAAAGGAGCTGGCGTGCGAGCCCGGCACGTGGAGAACAGGTGAGTCGTCCCGGCCGGAGCACCTGTCAGTTGCGCCCTCTCACTTTCATCCCGTCCCCCTTACGCCAGTTGCTCTCCTTAGCATTTTTGAGATTTTTCCCCTTCGAGAGGCGTCGGCTCGTCTTCTCAGCCTTCTTTCAATCTGAAACTGGGTCATTTTGCCAGAGTTGACAGACATTCGCCGATTAAGGCTAGGAACAGTGAAAACGTGTGATTCTAAGGATCTTACAATCTATAAACCACATTTTACCCAATATATCTTTATCCAACTTGATATAAAATCGTAAATCAGAGATATTCAATGGTAAAACCAAAACCATGAAAATAAGATATTTCATATTAGCAAACTGCTCTGGTGGTTCATTTTTAGTGTAGAACACATAACCTTTTATACGACAAGATGATAATGATTATCATTATACCAATACTTCATACATAACCTCAAATTAGGTTTGTGAAAAGTGAAAAGTAAAACGTTATGTAAGGGCCAAGAAGGCTAGGAATTTGTGCTATTCTAAGCTCGATTTCTTCTTGAGGTGATGAATCTGTAGCTGGGTCGATTAGAAGTGTTTTGGCTTTCTGCAACTTCAGTCGGCATTGTGTATTCTTGTGTGATTTTTTGAGGTCTTCTGGGCGATAGAACTGGGGCTTGTTTGTTCTCCGATCAATTTGGTCTGTTAAAATCGTTTTGGCTTTTTTAATTTTCAATCGCCATCATATATTCTTGTTAGATTTTTTCGTGAGGTTTGCAGGGTGATGAACCTGCGGTTTGGTAGATATTGATCATCTTGGTCTTTTAGAAGCGTTTCGGCTTTTTCCATCTTCAGTCGCTATTTTATCTTGTTGCAAATTTTTTCTAGGTTTGCAAGGTCATAAACCTGTAGGTTGGTCGTGCTCGGATCATTTTGGTCGGTTAGAAGCGTTTGGGCTTTCTGCATCTTCAGTTGCTATTGTATGATCTTGTGAAATTTCTTCTTGAGGTTTGCAAGGTGATTAACCTTGGTTGGTCGTTCTCAGAACATTTTGGTTGGTTAGATGCGCTTTGTGCAAATTCAGTCGGTATTGTGTATCTTGTGTGATTTTTCTTGAGGTCTGCTGGGCGATAAAACTGGGGCTTCTTCGTTCTCCGATCATTTTGGTCTTAGAACCGTTTTGGCTTTTTTAATTTTTAATCGCCATCGTATATTCTTGTGAGATTTTTTCTTGAGGTTTGTAGGGTGATGGTCCTGCGGCTTGGTGGATCTTCCATCATCTTGGTCTGTTGGAAGCGTTTCGGGTTTTTGCATCTTCAGTCGGCATTGTGTGTACTTGTGTGATTTCTTCTTGAGGTCTGCTAGGTGATGATGTACCTTGAAGCTTGCTCGTTTTCTTTGGTATTTCAGACGCCATTTTAAACTCGCGATTGTATTTCCTTGTGAGATTTCTTCTTGAGATCTGATGGATGATCAACTTGAAGTTTGGACTACCGGACTGCTCTGGTTTTTCGCAAACATCAGTGGTTAGTATAAACGACTAAAAAATAACACAATAACCCCCAAGAGGGCAAAATGCTGAGACGCATCTGACGAGCCTAAACAGCGCGGATAAGCAATCAAAACCCACCTGATTTTAGCAGCCTTATCTATTAGAGAATTACTTAAAATGGAGAATAAGAGTAACTGGACAAAATAAATCCAACTAAGCTGAACGAAATTTGAATGGAAAAAGTTATTTATTAAAATTGCGAACAAGACAGATAAAAAAATCAGACAATTTAAAGATCTCAGCCTCCGCAGTTGAACGGAATGATTTCAAGAAACAATAGCGTACCGTTCTTTGTTTTGTTTTGCTTTTTCGTTTTGGACAATATTTTTACTAACCAACACTGCATGTTGGTGTAAACCATTAGGAGTCTGAAAACTGAATGACATTAAGAACTCTACAGACCTGAGAGGTAGAGAACTCTATCATCAACCAGCATTAAAAAGTATTAAATTCACTAATTTCGTGGTCCGCTTGACCAATTAATAAATTACAATTACTTAAGATTTTTAGTTGAGATGAAGAAAAGTTAATGGCACGAGCGGGATTCGAACCCACGATCTTCGGCTAGATACGCTGCTGCTCTACCACTTGAGCTATCGTGACCTCGATCCACTCGGACATCAACTTCCTATCTCAACCCCACCTTATGAGTTTTCCTTCCTTTTTGCCATTTTTTCATCTCTATTAAAAACCTTGATTAATTGTAATTAAAAAGTATATGATTAACATACAGATTTTACTATATTGAAGGGTGTTATTTGATTTTTGATCAGCAAATTCAACTTTTTTTTAAATTATATTTATATTAGAAATTTTTAACGTTAATCGTTTGTTGCAGGATGTTGGAAGGGGCTCCGAGACTGCCTCCAAACCACCCCGTAACCCCGCCCTCCGGGACACCGCCGCCCCCTTACTGGAGGATACCCGAATACCACCCCGTGATACACCATTCTTCCGCCATAAAATCAGGTATACGAGAGCCCTCTTTTTTTTTTTTTTTTAATAAACTTACAAAACACATGAATAAACCATTTTCAACGGCTTTCATACTTCGAGGTGTACAACCTGAGCCCTTGAAGATGAACAAGATTATTTCCATAATAGCCACCTGTGACAACAAACACGCGTTCGGCTTTTCATCGGGCCCCAAAAGTCAATTTGAACCCGGAAGAATGTGAAAAGGGCTCTTGAACCAACAGATGCAACTGATAGGCGATTAACATATATATAATTTAAATACTTTCTCTCAAGTTTTGAGTCGTTATTCGTTATAAACGATTAATTAACCTATGTATTATCTGTAAATAACCGACACAAAATGTAAAACAAACTCTGAACTGATAATCGTAGTGAGATAACTTTTAATGCGATAATTGAACAAAAAACTACATGTAACTTGAGCTTTGCCACCATGTACAACTCGAAAAACCGCGTTTTTCATAAATTGAGTATTTCACTACACATCACATTACAATATAACCAAAATAGTTCTTCTTTTACTACCTGCGTAGATTTTTAATAAGGATATTTTACGTTACTGACAAATAATTTTAAGGTTTTTGTTATGAAATCAACTGATATTTGGTGTTTTCCAATGGTTTTCCCGCCATGTCCACCGGATCTGAATGAAAAAGACTGGTTGCTGAAACCCGCGTAAACCGTGCTACCTGTGTTAAGTGTGTTAAAGTTTTCCTACCAAAGTGTGTCATTCGGATAGCATAGGCTAGGTAGCTAATAGTGTGCCAAAAACGACACCAATCAAAAATTCCAAGGGCGGCGTGAAAAACGAACTCACCGAGAGCCTGATGATCTATCTAAGGGGCTACCAAGGTCCCAAGCACGATTTCTTTTTTAAAATAGAAAATATGTATGAAATTTCGTAAAATCTTAAATTTACTTTGAATAAATCATAATTAAAAAGTAAATTTTAAACTGCTTTTGTTACCATGGGTAGATGATGGTCAAATGCAGAATGTAACCAGTGTCAAGGAACGTGTAAGGTCCCTCATCAGAATGTTTTATAGTGCTGTAAGTATTTGTTGTCTTAGCTATAAAAAATAATTATTCTTGTATTATCTACTGAAAGAATTATAAATTATGCGTTATTTTGTCGGGTGAAGTTCGGCCATCTATCATCCTGTGGTAATTAACGTGTAGGCAATGACAGGATAGACTAGGAATTATTTACTTTCTGTAGGCTTAAGGGTAAGGATAAATGAGATGATAAATTCCGCATCTTGACCTGGGTAGATCTATTGTGCTACTCTATTTTTAGGACTTACTGTCCAGCTGCTATTGTAGGCTCCTTGGTGTAGGGTCTCGCTTATGGCTTTTCTTCTCCTAGTTGCAAACAAGAAAAACATACCGTTTTGCGGCCTCCTCTTCTCCCTGGCAGTATGTGGACAATGTTTCCTCTGTTCCTCTAAACAGTACATGTGCCTAAGAGCTACAGTGCCTGTCAGGAGGAGGTTTGTTGAGGTTACATTCCAGTCTTGCAGACTGCTCTTCTATCAATTCCTCCTCCCTCATGCTTCGGTGTTTGGCCACATAAAGGATCCATGTATTTGTGGCAAGGTGTTAGGCCATAATAGGATTCGAGACCTAGAGAATTCATATTGGCTCCTTTTTTGTCCAACATGTCCACTTTCTCATTGGCTTTATGTTCCCAAATACCCTGGGATACATGCCAGAGTCAGGTCATTGGTGTCAGGGATTCAATAAATTCCATACTTTTTGCCTTTATCTAACATGAGGGTGCCTGTCTGACAGAGATAATGGCTAATCTTCCTAGAAAGTATAACTATTCTTGTTATACCTCTGGCGTGTTCAATACCTAAGATTTCAGAGTGGAAAATTGTTCCATGTTCAATCTTCGGATTCAGGCCGATGGCTACAGTTCCCTGGCCCCAGTCTATTTTTGAGCCGTCAGTGTACCAGTAAGCATTGGAGGTTTTCGGCTTCATACTTCCCTTTCTTGTACAAGTATCTGAAACTTGTTGGTGAAGTTGTACTTTGGAGTAGTGGCATCGATTAGCATGACTTGCATGGCATCGTTCTGTATCTCCTCCCTCAGTTTCCGTTGTTCTTTGACATAGCCTATCCTTGTAGATGGTTGTCCATTTCTGAGCCTGTAGGCCGCAGCTCTGATTTCTCCTTGGATTAGAACATGAAGCGGTGTAAGGTTTAATAACACCTCCGAGGCTGCAATTGGCGTTGTTCTCATGGCTCCAGTCAGTGACTCTGAGACGAGCTTATCTTCGAGTGCTACCTAATAATCTGATTGCCTTAGCCTGCAGGTCTTGTTTCACCATACCACCACCCATATGTCAACATACCTTAGGCTTAACTACTGACTTAATTTTTAAAAAGTAAGCTTAAAAAACCGAAATTTTCATTTCTGCTAAATAACAATCAAATGAATAAACATAATGAAATCAATAAAGAGTCAAAGTAACATAAACTAACATTGGAACTCCAAATCTATCAACATACCATAACAGCAGCCTCGAAGGAAGGAAGATCAAGATGATCGATCGTAATCCGACAAACTACAGTAACATAACTTTTTATTAAATTAAAAGTAATTACGTCATATCGATTTTTAAAAAATCAGAACTTATAATGACAGGTTATTTACGAATTATAGCTAAGTTATGTTTTATTCGCGCCTTAGTAGTTTGTATGTATTGTTATGTATTATATAGATTAGTCAACTAATTGTCAATTATTGTTATTTAAAAAGTGTTGTTTTTAATTTTATGTTTAGAGTACGGCGGAGGCTTTCCTCTGATGCCGTACTTGTGGCACCACGGGCTTTTCATACCGTATTCACCTGCTAGTCAAGAACCAGTGGATCTGAGCCCGCACCGGGCCGGATCGGAAGTCGGGTGTACGCCGGAGAAAACGAAAACCGGTGAGCCGATTAGTACAAATTATAAAAGTCGACCGCTTTGATCGGTCTGTGACCTTTAAAGAGAAACAAACAAACAAAAAAACTGTACTTTCAGGCGAGACTTTTACGGAAATAAGTCGCGATGACAGCGACGAGGAAATGCCTTTGAACCTGTCGACCAAGCACAGAAAACCGGTGGAAATCTGGTCACCATGGTCCATGTGCGAGAAGTCCGGCCACATCGTCCAACTTCACAGCCCGCCCCAGGCGCCTTCGAGCACCACCCCAACTCCCACCGCAACTTCGCACTCTCAAGAAAGAAGTTTCCAGGTAAATTTCAAACTCGAAAACACGTAGTTTTAAAACAATCAATTATTACATCTCTTCCTTGATTACATGGGCACATTAGTCATAATATTTTCAGAATTATAGTGGTCACAATGACGTTATTTAAGGAACATATAACCTTGACCTTACGAACTTGAATTCTTCTTGATCTGCAAAAATCAACTCTACTTGTGCACGACCTTTCAAGGTGTTCTTTTACAGCTATAGCCATATATAGTTAATTTAAAACCAGCAACTATCTGGGGTCAAATGTGCCTATAACAACATAGTACATGAAATCAATCATGGGTCTACAGGGTGTCCCAGTTCCTTCGGACGAAACTCAGGGAATTTAGTACATGGTTTCAATCATTGAAGACCGATTTAGTTCCAACATTGCCAACAATAGTTGTTACAGTGGTTCAGCCTGGATTGGTCTTTATCGTTATTTTCTTTTCTAGCGTAATCATTAAATATTAAACATGCTGAAACTTTTTGTTAGGTTATTTTGAATTTTACCTTGAATTTCATATCTTTGAGCGTCATTCCGTTAAGAGTAAAAAATGTTTCATGCATCTCTAGAATTCTCAAAGCGTTCAGTAAATTCGTTTCTGCGCTTAGAATTGTAGACCTGCTTAAAACTTACAATCCGTACAACTGTTGTTATTTCTCAGAAAAATTGACATATGGTAAGTTCTAGCTATGAATAATTTTGGTTTGGCCTATTCTTAATCCATAATGTGCCACTTCTCTTCTTCGCTGTCTTATTTTGCTTTATTTTGTATTTCTCCACTCAATTGCCACTTAATTATTTTCAACATTGAATGCTGCTTTTTCTACTGTATGGTTTAACTTTAAGGCTACAATATTCGCTTGGAGGATATTTTCTTTAGCAACCTGACTTTCTGTTTTTGTTATCGTTGTATAGGATGAGTTGATTGTTAAATTAGATGTATTATATTTAATTATGTATTGAAGACTAACAATTCAGCATTACAGCTTCGTCATTTTGAACCAAAACCAAGTTCCTCCTGACCCTTATTACTTACTTATTGCCGAGCCATTGAAATTTTTATATTGAAATTGTTAACTTCCATGATAGAGGGGAAACACCCACTTTTTAGGAAATTCAGAACATCCGGGCCAAATGCATTGCAAAACCTTACTAAAGAGCATCCTTTTCTTGGGTGTTTTCAAATTGTGGAAGATTTTTGTTACGTACTAGATGTTCGAACGAGGGCGAGCTATTGGATACAATTTTAGCCTAAAACTATCCTTACTGTCCTTTTTTTTAACGAGGGGTTCGCAACAGCAGAGGTTATATCAAACCTCGGGTGCCGGTGTTTTTGAAAAAAATCCCATTTTTAAATAAGTCGGGTTCGAATGCAGGGCCGCTGGATTCGAACCCGGGACATTACAGTGATGAGCGCCGTGTCAACGCATAATCGTTGCGGCCCCCGATGCCCCCCAACTATCCATACTATTTGTTCATTATATATACTCTATTCTATGTAGATGCGAAACTTTTATCTCTGTATGTATTTTTGTCGCAGGTAAATAAAGGTAATTTGCTGTAGAATTTTTGATTTTTCTAATAATAGGTTTTAACTTTACAAAGGGTAGGTGGTAAGTACAGAATATAAACTGACACAATAAAAAGAAGTAATCATAATTTGCTCAGTTAAGGCAATAAACACTTGAGTTTTAAATCAATTAATCAATTCATTGATTAATTCCAATGAAGTCTTCCAAGAAGTCGTATTAAGAATTCTTTTTCTTCAATATTTTATTACAATCTGCAATTTATGATTACAATATGTAATTTGATGAACATAGATATATTTAAAGCTATTTACATATTTACATTGTGCGGATCAAATAATCAATATTATTCTCCCACTTCACTTCACAGAATAAACTTCACTGTCCATTCCTCAGAAAGGAGGTCGCGGGGCTATTTCCTCTTGAGACGTGGACTGTAGGGATGGACAAGGCTTGGGCGAGACTATTGGGGTGACGGAAGAAATCATTGTAGAACTTGGTAAATTTTTGGGGGATTATATATTGGACGAATAGAATTTTAAAGCCAGAAACACACTTACCCGATGCCACACCCTGCGACGCTACCCGACGCCTTGCCACGTTTTGGTGGGGTGTGCACATCTATCCTAGCAAGCCCACGTCGCGTACAGTCCACAGCGTTTACCACAATAATCACTATCACAATCGCAACGCATCTTTTGTTCTTAATGCACTATTTTGAGCAAAACCTTGTTGCATAAATTGTTAGTTAAATTTTATGAGTACAACCATCTAATAAATTGTTTGTTAAACTTAATTATTTTAAATAAAGTTACTCCTAACCATCATAATTAAACAATGTTTGTAAAAACTTATGAATTTGGTTTACATTAAAATAACATGTTGTAAATAATATAACGAAAAAATTACATGTACTTAGTTTGAAATAAACTACAAAAAATATAAGTGTCCTGTTCTAATGCTACCCGACATTACAAAATGGTGTAATTTTACGAGCAAAACTATGAAATAAATTGTTAATTAAATTTTATGAGCAAAACCGTGTAATAAATTGTTCCAATTTTAGTATATGTACCGCCGAAGCGAGTACAATAAATTGTTAGTTAAATTCATTATATCAAAAAATCGTATTCCGGTGTTTTGATTAATTTTCTACCAAACCATTAAAATTAATTTTTTAAATAAAAACGAATTAATTTTTAATTACAGTTAATTTGGTTTATATTAAAAATAAGTATGTTGTAATTAATATAACGACAATAATACATGTAGTTTGAATAAAAATATGAGTGTCCGGTTCTTTTGTCTTCGATTGTACTCGATGCGACCCGACGAAAATCTGGACAGTGGGGATCGCAGAGCGTTGGGTAGGTTAGCGTGGCATAGCATTGGGTAGTGTGCACGGGAGTATTGCAACCTTATGGAAAATCGAAGTTTGGATTTGCATCGGGTAGCGTCGCATGGGGTAGCATCGGGTAAGTGTGTTTCTGGCTTATGGTCGTTGTGGTGGATAGTATTGGAGACTTAATCCGGAGAATTGATAAGAAATCTAAGGACTTTAGATTGAAAGGAGGCGTTGGATATTGGAAGGTTTAGCTATTCCCCACAATTCTATTCTTTATTCATTAATTCACTACTTTCGTGGTCCGCTTGACCAATCAATACATGACAATTAATTAAGGTTTTTAGTTGAGATGAAAAAAGTTAATGGCACGAGAGAGATTCGAACCCACAACCTTCGGCTAGATACGCCGCTCACGACCTGGTGAAAGGTGTGGTTGAGATGGGAAATTGGTGTCCGATTGGATCGAGGTCACGACAGCTCAGGTGGGAGAGCAGGGAGTAATATATTAATTGGTCAAGCGGACCACGAAACTAGCGAATTTATTTACAATTATTTCTTGTGAGATATCTCTTTTAAAGTTGAATACAGAGAAACATCAACCGTTTCTATCTCATAGTGCTGATGTTACCCAGTTTGATTTTTACATACCACTCACCATATAATTATTGTTTAAAGACCTAAGTTGTTTTCAATTTTCGTGTATTTCAAACTATTTTTTATGTGCTATGGATGATGGATTACAAATTCTGAGGGCATCCCTGAGAATAGACGACCACGACTGTGACAAACTTCAAAGCCCCACAAATTAAATCCCTTTAATTAATTAATTATTTATCAGTTATATGTCAGTAGTATTCGTTAGTTTCATATCGAAATTCGAGAGGATCCCTAATTATAAAATATCTTGGGAAGATTTCAGAAGAGAAGAAATTCAATTATTTAATTAACCCAAATATGTTTAGTGGTCATAATTGGCCATATTTATCATATCAATTATTCTTTTTATAGAATGAAAAATGTTATGAGTGGGATTTGAACCCACGACCTTCAGCTCAATACGCTCAATTTTTTTACTAGGGTTCGCAACAGCGGAGGTCATATCAACCCTCGGGGTGCCGGTGTTTTTGAAAAAAAGAAAACCATTTGTAAGTATGTCGGGTTCGAATCCACCGGCCCTGCATTCGAACCCGGGACCTTTACCTTACAGTGATAAGCGCCGTGTCAACCCTAAACCGTTGCGGCCACCGACATCCCGCTATCGTGTATTCTTCGTAATTATATAACAATTCGAAATCTCGATAGCTCTAGTGGTAGCTACTAGAGCTATCGAGATTTCGAATTGTTATATAATTACGAAGAATACACGATAGCGGGATGTCGGTGGCCGCAACGGTTTAGGGTTGACACGGCGCTCATCACTGTAAGGTAAAGGTCAAGATATTTTATAATTAGGGATCCTCTCGAATTTCGATATGAAACTAACGAATACTACTGACATATAACTGATAAATAATTAATTAATTAAAGGGATTTAATTTGTGGGGCTTTGAAGTTTGTCACAGTCGTGGTCGTCTATTCTCAGGGATGCCCTCAGAATTTGTAATCCATCATCCATAGCACATAAAAAATAGTTTGAAATACACGAAAATTGAAAACAACTTAAGTCTTTAAACAATAATTATATGGTGAGTGGTATGTAAAAATCAAACTGGGTAACATCAGCACTATGAGATAGAAACGGTTGATGTTTCTCTGTATTCAACTTTAAAAGAGATATCTCACAAGAAATAATTGTAAATAAATTCGCTAGTTTCGTGGTCCGCTTGACCAATTAATATATTACCATTAATTAAGGTTTTTAGTTGAGATAAAAAAAGTCAATGGCACGAGCGGGATTCGAACCCACGATCTTCATCTAGATACGCCGCTGGTCTACCATTTGAGCTATCGTGACTTCGATCCACTCGGACACTAACTTCCCATCTCAACCACACCTTTTGAAAGAAATTGAAAAATGGCAAAAAGGAGGGAAAATTCAAAAGGTGTGGTTGAGATGGGAAGTTAGTGTTATTTGTCTAAATTTAAATACTGATTCTGAGGAAAGTCTTTTGTGGTTAAATTATTTTATTTAAAATGCGTAATCTTTATATAGCATACTTCAACAATAGGCTAGACACATGCGGTTGTCTCATTCTGAAGGTGAACGTACATGTACCGTCTTTTACCACAATCAGTGCTTCAGCAAAACATTAACATGCAGTCCACTATTGGTCGGATATCGATTGTCAATGAGAATAGGTCCAGAACAGTTGAAGTTAGTCAATTTTCAGCGAAACTAAAACTCTGTGCGTTCCCGATTTTTCATATTAGGATCGATTTGTGTTTATTACAGTGAATCATAAATAATTTGTGTTTGAATTAAATTATAGGGTTAGAGATCAAGGCATGTTTGCCAAAATTAGGTCGTGGAGCTATCGACAACTTAATCATTCCAGGCCCTCAAGGCTTGTAACCTATCCTTAGGCCTACATTTTCATTCTCAACTACATATTTTATATACATAAATAGAGTTGATGCAATGGGATACATGATATACTTCTGTCACACTAGCAATTGTAAGGTCCACAACCGTCAAATCTCTTGTATTAAACATCCACACAGACAAAGCCATTTGTAAAAAAAACCGAAATAATAAAAATATATGATATAGCAAGCATCTATTTATTCTAAAAAATCTAACGCAATCCTTACAAGGATTATTTGTATATATTATTTTTATTTATTTTTTATATTCTTTAAATTTATTTTTAATTATGCCAATTCTAAAAATATCCATCAACTTCTGTTACACTTTAGTAATTAGATTGGTAGGATAAACCGCGCCTTCTACGTTTAGATTTAGTGGCTAAAATACAATTGATTTTCATCGTAGACGGCAGTGAGTTTAGAAATTACAGAAGAAGATATTTTCTTTTCGCCACATACACGTCGACCCGGTTGACAGGCGAGGAATTGACGACAGCGTCGACTTAATTCCATTTTCTCCAACGGAACCGGATCGATGGTATGCCCATCTCGAATCGATGTAATTATCCCGGCAGTAAGAGAACGCCTGTTGCATTTTATTATTCATCGTCTCTCTACCGAGTGAATGCTACTGAATTTCTTTTTTTTGGCGTGACAGAAAGGTTAATCAACCCTTCGATGGTCACCTGATGAATGAAAATGACATGTTTTTTTACAAAATGCTTCATCGAAAAAATTGAGGGGTGAACGTGCAGTTTGGTCCTTTCGGTCATTTTAATCTGCATATCTTAGTGGTGGATCTTGTCAACCTGCTTATAAGCTGAATATGACAAAATGCCGACGCATCTGACACCTAAACAGCAAGGGTTCGAGACTAAATTAATCGGAAACTGTTATACCATTAAAAGATAAACATTGAGAATACCTAATTGTTTTCGACGAGGAATCCAGCAAACCAAACCGTCGAAATCTATTTGGGTTCAAAGCTGATTGGATAATTTCACATTATTAACGATATGTTTATTGCGTATTTCTTCAAAATTCTGAACAATAAATAAGCCAAAGACGTAGCATGTAAATCCTTAGAACTTGTATTCAGCTTAGGCTCATTTTTGAAATGAGGTCATTAGTTAATAACATCTGGTATAATAAAAACTTGAGGTTGACCTATGTTCAAACGAACGGTGGTTTATAGATTGGTGCATCGTTCCCTTCTCTGAATTTGGTTCAAATTATGAACAGGTTCCAATGAACGCATGGAAGTGTACGCTGGTTCCAAAGGTGGACAAAGAAATGAACTATGGGAGAAAGAATTGGTCATTTAAACATCCTAAAAAAATTGTTCTAAATTAAACATAATTATCTCTTAGTTCTTGCTGGACGTTGCATCTAAAAAATGCATGATATTAACATTTTGTATTATTATTGTTTTCTGAACAACAATAAAATATCTGGAAGAACCTATCAGACCACGGGGATGGGGATGGAGGAGAGGAGATGGACATTGCTGGAACTCTTAGTTGGTTGAGGTATAGTTCCCTGTACAGATACTCGTAGGTTGTTGGTTGAGGTTTAGGGTTGTGTTGTTACAGGTCACGAAGCCACTGTATTTTTAGGGTGGGACATATAGATTGGAGTGGAAGTTGTGGAATCTTGTTTCGATCATGTCTGTCTAATACGATTCCTGTTACAAATGGCATGTCTAGGTCTTTGTGCATGGTTTGGTTAGTGCCATAGAAGAGAGCGTTGAGGATACCACGGAGAACGTTTGATTGAAAGGATGGATTTTTTGGATGTTGGATGGCTTGGCTGAACCCCAAGACTCCGTAAGTCCAAATCTGTCTAATTAGCGTCTTGTAAATTGGTAGTTTGTTGTGTACTCATTGATTTGGTTCTATGAAGGCTTCTGAGTTTTTCTGTCAGTTCTTGACTTTTTTCTTTTATGTGTATGTTCAATGTAAGTCTGCTGTTGAAGTAGAATCCAAGGTAACGTATTTGAATCTTACCTTACAATGTTCAAAATCTTCTCTGCATATCAGTTTGCATTCGTTGATTAAACAAAGATGAAATGATTTTTTTTTCAGTGCCAACAATGTGGAAAGACGTTTAAAAGAAGTTCCACACTCTCGACCCACCTGCTGATACACTCAGACACCAGACCATATCCATGCCAGTACTGCGGTAAAAGGTTCCACCAGAAGTCCGACATGAAGAAGCACACGTATATACATACAGGTAAATACACGTTGTTTTGCTTATTATTAGCTTGACGCGCGTGTAGATGAAATTGATCAAGCCGTTTGTTATTCGAGGAATGAAGTATATTTCGATTAAAATTAGGTATGCTTATAAAACCCAGTGTTTCGGTTTTACATTCGAAATAAGGCTGAGAGCATCACTTAAATCGGCAAATTCCTAACATCGGAATAGTAGCAATCGCGTGGGTGGCGATGGATGAAGTATGTAGGACGTAATTACACATGGAAATATCGTGCCTGTGGAACGTGACTGCTTATTCAAGATTTAATACGCTTATGTGTCTTCGGACGACTAACATTAGCATTACGACGAACGCGTCTGTTATCGATTATTTAACTTGTGACGATGAATTTAACATGACGTCGAGGAAATGTTGGTCCCTCCCGTGGTCAAACTCTTGATTTCTTTCTAAGTATTAAAACAATATTTTTGCTTCCGGACTTTTGGGTGATGAACCAATAGTAAGGTCTTTTCTGATCACTTTCAAATAAAAATTATAATCTTTAGCACAAGTTCCCAGACTAATGATTGTACTAATTGTATAATTTTGCATGGAATTTTCACCAAACACGACAAGTTTTTGTCTACTTCACACAAAAAACACGAGTTGAAAAACAACATTCCATGAATCAGTAAACTTTTCAATAATAAATATTTGTTTTATTATTTACTTAATCGAAGGCAACATTCAATAGTATTATTATCAATCAATTCTGTACAAGTTAATACGAGTCCTTCCAATTCCTCTTCTTAATCCTCCGCTCTTATCTAACATTTTCTTCGGGTCGTACAAGGATCAGATTACTCCGAATACTGCTCTCTGGCCACGGGGATCTGCAATGTGCTCTCTTGACTATCCGTTCTTATGGTGATTTTCTTGTGAGTATAACCACTTTGGAGATTTTCTAAAGCACAAGCGTTTATCGTATGTATTCAGCTTAGAAAAAAGTATCCCAAAAATAGGTCCAGTGTATTGCGGATCCTCCTGTAGCCAGTAGGCTTGCTTTTTCGTTACCCAAAATTGCTTTGTGTTATGGTACACAAAGGATCACCATGTTATTGTTTCTAAGAAGGAGCGGGCGATGTTATAATTTAAAAAATTCGATTGTATGTTTGTTAGGCCCTGATGAAAATGAAATTGGTCATCGGAACCTTGGCAACATAGTGCGTTAATTTCATCTGTTGGCCATTTTCCTTGATCTCAAGAAAAAACCATTAAGGGGTTGACCAACATAATAGTATAATCAAATGATCAATAAATATTTATTTGAACACATATTTTTCTTAAAAGTACTGTTAAACTGCTCAGCCTCCATAGCCTTGCGAGCGGCTCCTTAGGATCTTGCTTGTGGTTTTTCTAGCTCTAGCTGCACGAACCTGCACCTTATGCATCATTATGCAGCATCACTGCTGGGGTTGTAGCAATGAGAATGTAAACGCTTTAGTTCTGCTTAACAACATGCTCATCGTATTTACATATTCGTGACTGATACTCTGATACTGAAAACAACTATTCCTCCCACCCTTTAATACAATAAGTTCTACTTGTGTTGAAAGCTTACAAAATCGCGAATTAAAAGTCCTTTTTATCTGGGTTCATGGAAACAACGGGATATCAGAAAACGAAATCGCACGATTTCTAGCAAAACAGGCAATTTCATATGAATAAATATTAGAATAACGCTAAATTATGACGTGTTAGAAAGTTTTCAACTAAAATCATAGCTAATCTTTATGTAAGGTGTTGGTTGAGATAAAAGTCAGTGTCACGAGCGGGATTCGAACCCACGACCTTCGGCGAAATACGCCGCTGCTCTACCACTTGAGCTATCGTGACTTCGATCCACTCTGACACCTACTTCCGATCTCAACCCACCTTTTGAATTTCCCCTCCTTTTTGCCATTTTTCAAATTTTATCTTAACCAATACCTAACATAAAAATTAATTAATTGAAAGAAGTTATTTGGTCAATCGGACCACGAAATCTAATGGATAAAATCATAGCATTAGTGGCACAATTAATAACACGCGACTACGAATGTCGAAGTTTGAGAAAGTAAAGATAGTATGAAACCTTAGAATTTGACCATTTGAAGTAATCATTGCTAGGCTTAGGATAGGTCATTATATGCTCACCCATTCGTTTCTCATGATTCGAGGGTAGATTGTGCTCCCTGTTATTTATGACTCACTCGCCAGCTTCAGGTTGTTAATCAGCCTCCATAGCTTTGCCAGCAGCTCCTCAGTGTAGTATCATGCTTGTGGTTTTTCTTGCCCTAGCTGCAAGAACCTACATAGACCTTCACAGAAACATAGAATGTGTTCTGCTGTTTCCTCCTCTTCCTGGCAGTATCTGCAGTGTTTCTTCTGTCTGTACTCCTACCCGGTGCATATGCTTTTTTAAGTGGCAATGTCAGGAGTCCAACCAGAATCCTGGTTCGGTTGTGGTTAACTTCCAGTAATTCCTTTGTAAGTTTTGCAGATGGCCCTTCTATGAATCTCTTCGCGTGCCTCATACCTGTGGTATTGTTCCAACAGGTTTTGGACTCATTAAGGATCCATTTTCAGATATATCCTCTTTTGTGTAGAGTCTATGGCCGAGTTGCCTGCAGGCCCGGAATGCCCAGAGACCCGTGCCAGGGTGAGGTCATTAATGACGCTGACTTCCAACACTCTTTGCCTCTCACGAGACCAGGGACTTTGATGCTGCCTGACAGTCAGAGAAATGGCTACCTTCCGGAATTGTATTCCTAGCCTTTTTATTTCCCTGGCACAGTTCAATCGCTATGATTTCAGACTGGAAAGCTATAGCATATTTACCTCGGATTACCGTCAGTTCGGTCTTGGATTCATCGCCAAGACTCCAAGCCCCCGTGCCCTTGTTGATTTCGGAGCTGTCAGTGTACCAGTAGAAGTTTGCCTTTAGCGGTGTTACTTTGGTCCTTTCTTCGCATAATGCTATCAGTACCTTGTTCTTTTTATTAGTAGGGCTGTAGTTGGTGGGTCTTGTATACGAGTGGGTTGACCACGATTTGTTTTTAATTATTCCAAAATACATTTTCAATGACGACTCCAGGGTTCCCTGTAAGGTTGCAGTCCCTGTGGTATTACTACGCTGTGGTACATAAAATACATGAAGCTTTTTAAAAATAAGCACTGGAAACCGCGATGGTCAGTAGTGGTTGTTGTTTATGTTATCCACGGCGAGTATCGCATGCGATGGCGGTCCAATTAGTTTCCATAAAGGCTTAATCAGTTCTAATTTGTTGGGTCGAGTGGAAGCCATTCCGAGAGGGATCGTGCTCATCAACCAATCAAACCCGTTGCCCCCGTCTCTTTGATGCCGGCCGTCGTCTGGGCCATCTTTCAAAGGGTTCCGATCAAATTGTAAAATGACGGAAATTCGAATCGAAACCCGAAGCGAAGAGCGATGTTAAATATTCAACAGGGCGGGAATCGATTTTAATTATGGGATTTCTTGATGGCATTCGGTCCGTCGGAGGCACCGGGGCGTTATCAATAACCTAAGTGTGTTTACAGATATCTCAGGGGCCGGGGCACGTTTCTCAAATCAATTATCTATATTACTTATCCGGTCGATTCGTAACTGATTCATTATTCAGCCTTTTAACGTCTTTTTTGTTTAATAACGTCGTTAAAACTGATGGACGTCGAGGGTTTTTTACTTTTAACGGCACAAATGCACAATTGAAATCGGGGCAGGTGAGACATAAATACAATCATGTTTGTTTTAACTGCACATAAGTTTTTTTTTTTTTTGCTCTTCTATCAATGATCATTAAAAACATTTACCTATCTTTTTCCTTCGTCGATTTTTACATTTTTAGAATATTTTGAGAAATTGTAGTTGATCTCAATTATTTGGGCAGGTCTCTTAGTCGTCTTGTTCTAACAAAAGGACTTTATAAATGTCAACGTATGTTCATGTCTCATTCAATGAATGTTTCTGTTGAGAGAATTTTTTGGTATCTGAGGGTTTACGGACCGATCATTCTGGTCCTCCTATCCTCACTGTTATGGTCTGTCAAATGCGTTTAAATTGTCACATTTTTCTTTGGTTGACCTGAGTGTTATTTTGTCGATCGGTAGATTCGTGCCTGATTCATTATTCAGGCTTATAACCTCTTTTATTTAGTAACGTCGTAAAAAAAAGAATGGGCGTCGATGGTTTTTTTTTTCTAACGATATCAATATGAAATTGAAATTGAGCAGGTGAGACGTTGACAAAATTATATTTATTTTATCTATATCGAATTTTTCTTTTGTCCAATGAGCAATAATCGTAAAAACTCTCACACTTTCCTACAATCATCGACTTGTACGTATAGCATCATATCAGTTTATTTGACCTGTCCTAATATTTTGAGAATCGACAGCGCATGTCATTGTATTCCTGCAAAAGTGTTGCTTGAAAGATGACGTTTTGATGATACTTTCAGAGTTTTCTTTGTTCATCTATGCTGAGAGGTCAATTAAGCATTAAGATTTTGCATAATTACAATTAATTAAGGTTTTTAGATGAGATAAAAAAGTCAATGGCACGAGCGGGATTCGAACCCACGACCTTCGGCTAGATACGCCGCTGCTCTACCACTTGAGCTATCGTGACTTCGATCCACTNTTTAGTTTTTCATTTCACTATTGATCTAGTTGTTAAAAAAGTCCTTCTTTTCTGAAAATTAAGATGGCAAGAGCATTACTATTATACACAACTAATTAAGGTTTTTAGTTGCGATAAAAAAGTCAACGGCACGAGCGGGATTCGAACCCACGACCTTCGGCTAGATACGCCGCTGCTCTACCACTTGAGCTATCGTGACTTCGATCCACTCGGACACTAACTTTCCATCTCTACACCACCTTTTGAGTTTCCCTCCTTTTTGCCATTTTTCACCTTAATTAATTGCAATATATTAATTGGTCAAGCGGACCACGAAATTAGTGAATTTTGCAT